TACATAAAGTTGTCACAAAAATCATGATATAAAATCACATGGCGATACTAAAACAAAGAGAAATTAAATTTTCTCTTCTAGAAAAAATAATATATAATGCAGTCTAGAACATTTTTCAATCACAATTTACAATAGTGATAAATTTATAATTAGTGTAAGGTGTAAAATCTAAACAAAATACGATGAAGTTCTAGTACTGTAGCGTTAAATATAGCACTCTCTTAGCAGTGCTTTTATATATATCAAAAGAGAAAAAAGATGTAGCAGGCTATCGAAGGTGTGAAATGATGCTTGAAATAATATAACGGTATTTTCTTTCAATCTGATCGATCGATTCGAGGCATCTACAGACAGATACTCGGCTTTGGAGAGGGATTCAAGGACCGATTCTTGGTTACCTGAATCAACGAGTAGCACAGATAAGAGCGCACGTGCGCGCGCGCGCGCGCACACGCAAACTCATTAATTTCCATCCATCCATCCATCCATCGATCGATCGCGAATTGAAAAACACCACTTGATAACGAGATGATAATCCCGTTATTACAACAAAAGCCTCGTAATGATTATCGTCTCGTCCGTTGGCCATCGTATCAATGATGATCCGTTAATACTCGACGAGTGGCATTTGTAAATTTTCTAGTTGTTATTACGCTGCCCATTGTCATTAATATTTCGTTATTAATTATGTGCACGCGCGTATAATTGGCACTGCGGCATTAATTAACCCGGTAGCATTCCTCGCGCGTGTGTTCCTTGCACGAAAATCTGATTAGTCTGATCTCGCCGCGAGAGTCTATCCGCGTTCGCCGCACATCACTTATTATTTTTGATACCGATTTCCAGCTGAATGAGGATGAAAAATCATCGGACCGAAGTCAAAACGTACGGCTAAAACCAATTAAAAGTTCGCGGCGTCGGCAGCCAATTACGTACATTGGCGTGGGACTATAACTTTCAAAGAATCAAGAGATCGTTAGGCGTATTTTCTCATCCGCGAATTCATTCGCGATATGTCAACTTGATATATTAATTGTGCAACATTATCTTCGCGTGTAACCAGTGCTGAGAAAATAATAATGAAAGATTTTTATCGCGTCATACAATTTCACAAGAGAAAGAAACAATTTTAATTTTTAAAAATATAACTTTGTTATTTTTTTTTTTTTTACGTAGATGGTAACACGTTGGACGACATACATTATCATAAAATTCATGTTTTCGAGAGACTCAGGTTTCGTACTTGATGTCCAAGCGCGAAAATAACACATGACGATTCCCGTCATGTTCGTCTCGTACGACAGATAAAAATCTCACGACACGCGGGGCTTACAAGGTGTGAGAAAATTGTGCAGCACTTAAGAGATTATCCGTCAGCCGCATGCGAGGATACGAGTGACTCGGATTATCGGGAAATCGCATCGGGTACGCTGTCATAAAATAAGCGTCAGCGGATTGAATACAAACGAGAGATTTGTATAACGAACAGGCGTAAGCGCTGACGGCGTGCTGCGCCTTTGGCCGCAATACCGCAATATGGCCCGCGAATTTGACACGCTCGCACCTTGTGACTCGCGGGTGGTTGTTGCGCTAGTTGGCGTTTCACGCCTCGTGCGTTTCAAGCTCTCCCTCTCCCCTCCTCCCACACCCTCGCCTCCCCGTCAGAATGTATAAACGCGCGTATAAACGCGGTCGATGCGAAGTTACGGACGATTCACATACCCCGCGAATGGGGTGGTTTGATAACGCGATGGTAGGTACGCCTAAACAGTCCTGCCCGACGAGCAACATCACGATTGTTAAATTATTATATAACCAGAAATCAGTCAGAGAGAAACCAAATATCCTCGCTGTATCATTCCTCGCGTAATCATGAAGCGAAAAATCATAGATCGATCGATTTCGAAGATTTGGAATTTTCCGGATTATCAAATATTTTCTTTATCTCATTTCGCTCTTTTGACGAAAAGAAATATTCTTGCGCAAATATCGATATTTTATAAAATTTGCGCGATATCGGGATAGAATATGCGATCGATCGACCGATTAATTCCGTCATATGTCGAGTTTACATATGAAAGCGGATAAATGGACGACGGGAGATTTCCGCGCGAAAAAACGGAGAGGCAAGAATGCGGAGTAAGTTTTTCATTCATTCATTTATCACGTGGTCGACGACCATAATAGACGATCGTGAGCCACGGCCGCGGTATTTTACCGCGTGTCTGATAACAGTACTTTCTTCCTCCTTTAATTTGAACGTAAAGTTTTACTGTCCTTTTCGATACGACGAACTCGAACAATATTGATTCTTCGGCTCTTACGGCCGTGAGCGCCGTTAACGACGTCGTCTATGAACTATAAAGGCCGTTTTACCGCGTCGAATGTCGGTCCAATTTGAAATTATAAATCACATATTCCGAGAGAAATTATTTATATAGGAACACTCTTCATCCAGGATTCCATCAATATCTCCCGCATAATTTATCTTCTGGCGAATTAATATAACTCTCCTTCTCTTCCTTTCTTTTTTTCTATTATTTTTTTTCTATCTCGCGGTTACTTAAGCTTTAATCATCGTCGAATCTGGTAGCAAAGAGAAAATATGAAATGAGAGATATTTACTTTATCTTTGCCGTTCACAAGTATCGACAAGTCTAGTATTTCTTCATTATCACTCTATACTTTTATTTAATCGGTACATCGTTAATTCCGTAATAATATCAATTACGATTACCGGCGGGAACCGGTAATCGTAAAAAGGCGCGATATATCCGTCATTGATATGCACGCTCCATCCCCTATCTCTATGCCCCTCAAGCGGGCCGATTAATTAGAACACATTGTACCTGGGAATCGCAGGTGTAATGAAAGATAATCGTTCCCGTCTGCTCCGGCTTCCGAAGTTACATTACCGCCGACACGAAACCGCTCCGATTCCCCATTAAAAGTATCGCAATCGAGCGGAAAATAGCGCGGTCGCTCGTAACGCAAGATGGATGCGCATTTCGGTCGAACGAGGCAGATTTAATGTGCCGGCTCAATTTTGGATTGGCTCAATCCTAGCGTCACGCGCGCATAATACGGCAATCGGAAATGGAAAAAAGCGCGCCGCACGTGCGACAGGCTGTCAATCGATTTTAGATCTTGCTGATTGTTCATTCAGCCGGCTAACTTTTTCGATCGTTGCATTATTAAAAAAAAGAGATAGAAAATTGCATGCCAGACACATGAATATTCGGCAATCGCGCTGCCTTCCCTTCGTACAAAATAAATCGACTTTGGTCACGATAAATTTTTCAGAGGACGAATTCTCTTGCTCAGTTTGTATCCTTGTCTCTTTTAATAATTTCTCAATGTAATAAAATATACGGCGCTCCTAATAATATCGAATATTCTATCGCTATTTAAGAATTATTTTCTAGTTGAGAGAATAAACCTTTTGGCTGCACGAATATAGACGAAGATTGAATTAAAATATGCCACATTTTTTGCGCCGATAAAAAATCGGGGAATATAACGAAACACGTTAAATTCGTGCGAGAACATTTAACGTGACAGAATGCATTTTGGAATTTGATGAATTTGATGAATTTCGAACTCGAATGTAAAGCGTGCACGTTGAGCTGGCAGGTGATGATGATACAAAACGGGATACCGCATTTTTAGAACAGGCGAAGGAACGGATATCACGGTTACGAGACGTGAATATATCGGTGATCACGAGGTACCGTATGGAACATATAGCGGATGAGATTTTCTTAGGCCAGCGAAATCCCTCCACCTGCGCTAACAAAATGCGCGGGGAAGCGATGATAGTTTTTCTATCCGCCGTTTTTATGAAACGGATATTTCGGGGTGTCCCCGTTTAAATTTCAATTTCATTTGACATCGGAGATTGGTATTTTCATGTTATTTGATACCTCCACAAATCAGCTCACAATATTCCATTTAATCGATCATTCTCGAATTAATTAATAATATTAGTATTTAAAAAAGATATTTGGGCGTTAAACTCATCGGCTAATTTTGTATCCCGTAATACCTAAAATTTTGCGCGGTTATGAACATCACCGAGCGTCACGAGTTATTCCAACGATCGGTTGCCGTTCGAGCATTGTTAAACAAATGATGGATTATTTAAGCGCGTAAGTTTGGCGGGTGAGCTCTAAATGTTAATATACGTCGTTCGGAAGAACGATCGCATCCTGTAATCACCAGCACGGATTAACGACGGCAACTGCGCATCCGCATTAGAAGTCGATCTCCGCCACGTCAGAGCCTTCGCCTCGTCTCACGTCATGACGCACGCTGGGATTTTCGTTTTTGCAAAGCGTATTTTGCGCGACATCGACCTGGCGAAGTCTCAAGTATCGCGAGAATTCGCCTAGTAATTTTAGTGTTGACTCCGCGTGCAACTTACGGATGATACGCGTCACGAATCGCATTTCGGCGTGCAGCATCGTCGAGGAAACCGCCCATCTCTGAAATTTATCTTTCGATGTCGGACACTTAGCGCGATTCACCTGCACTCGAGATTACGTCAGTCTTAGCAGTGTTCTACTTGCCGGCTACATTTCGCGGTTAATTACTGAACCTGGAAAAATGACGCGGGAAATTTGTTATAATTATTTCCGATCCATTAAACCTCCTCCATTTTTTTTCTCTCCCTCTCTCTTTCCCACTTTCTCTCTCCCTCTACCTCCCTACGGTTCGAAATAATTATAGATTAATCATCAATTTCCATGCGTGTCCATCTATCGTTTTGTAAATATGTATCGCGGCAAATTACGATTTGCAATTTGAAAAGCACGCGTTGCTTTTTCCAAAGGCATTTTGATCATCATGGAGGGGCGGGGGTTTATCATCGCGAAAGACCGGTTCGCGTATTTTTATCCGAGTACCTGTTTTTCCGCGGTAATAACCTCGCCGGAGTTGCATTTGTTATTTCTTCGGCTTTGTTGCGCGCCTGCAATGGCGCGCGGTTTGTTTTCACTCACCTCAGTCTGCCGTGTTCCGTGTGCGGCGATTCCTCTGGCGATTTGTAACTGTTTCCGGTCTGCAACAAAGAATGAGACGCGTAATGAAGACCCCGATTCTCGCGGTTCATAACTAACAGGGAGCAAAAGAATCCCGCAGATTTTATCCGTATTCTCCTACACAACAATAACTAGGGGTCGGGAGTGCAAAACCGTGTCAGTGGTAGAAAAAAAAAGAAAAAAGATTTGTTTAAACGAGCCCAAAGGAGATTCCGCGTAAAATATGTTACGCGATTATAAAGGTAGGATGAAAAGGAATAGTTCGTAAAGAGTTCAAAATATACAGCTGTATATCTCTTCTAAAATTTTCTGAATTTTCCAATGAGAGATAAAGCCAGCATTAAAGCTAATGGAGAAAGAGCAATCAGCAGTTGCTCAGATCAGGTTCACGTTCAGACAAGCGATGACAGTTGAGAGATTAACCTCGATCACACAACCGGGCCGATCGTCGTTCATCGTGCCGACATTGTCGGATTTTCGGCTATCCGGGTGCCATCCCGTTGTCTTTGCGACGTATATATCGCGCGGCGCTTAATTCCGTCAGAATGACGACACCCCGGGGTAAGTCGTCGCCGTCGTCGTGTTGTCGTTCGCGAAATAACATTCTCAGAAACTCTCTTCTCGTGAACACGTGCGTCGGCCGTTAATAAATCGGCCGAAACAACGGCCAGTTATGACGACGACGGCGATGGCTATGCCAGAGCGTCGGCGGTGCGAATTAGTTCGCGAGCAACATATCGCACGAGAGCGTGTAACAACTCGGACAACAAATGGAATCCAAGGGATTTCGCGAAAATGCACCGCGCGACGACGTAATTAGAATTTATGTCGATTAAAACGCGGCGGAGGAAGAAAAAGACATATCGACACGAGAGACGGAGAGAAAGAGAGAGAGAGAGAGAGAGAGAGAGAGAGAGAGAGAGAGAGAGAGAGAGAGAGAGAA